ATCATATCAACCCTCTAGTCCCCATATCCAACTCCCCTTAGCTCTTTACTCCACCCATTTGCCCTCCCTTTTGTTTTCTTCAATAACCCATTAAATCTAATTACTGCAGTATGTGTGTGGATGGGGCCACCCACTGGAGCAAGGCCACATCCCCAAAGAACAATGATTCTCCTCCCACATTTGTCATCCATTTCAATATGTTCTCAGCAAGGGATGGGACCTCATGATCCTCCTACCTATCCATAAGGTATTCCTGAATGGGAAGTCTTGGCAAGGTACTTATAGCTGATATACATGCATGGGTGCAACAGACATTTCCTGTTAGGAAGACAGCATTTCTCAGCCCATCCTCTAATTCTTACATTTTTCCCACTCCCTCTTCTGCAACAACCCCTGGGTCTCATCTAGGGCTGGTCTTCACGGTCACTTATTTTCAGTGCTTTGACCAATTGTAGGTCTCTGTTAACCATTGTTCACTGCAACAGAAGCATTTCCCACCAAGGCCATCAGCAAACTACTGCCTTGGCCTGCCCCTAAGGTGCTAAGCTAAGGCCACACTGCCTTTAACTCTTGACCCTCCTGCATCCACCTCCCTGGGGTTGCTGTTTTGTGCCAGATCCTATGTGTTGTTTTCTTTAAACCACATAACACACCCATCAGTCACTGCTATTTTCAACTCTGATTTACAAACAAACAGGTTTAAAGAAGATCAGTCATATTCTAAGTCACAAAGTTAGCAAATGTTAGGACATTCATGCAAATGCAGTCAGTGTGGCTCCAGGGTTTATAAGCAAGCACAGTGCTCTGCTGATAAATCATGGTCCTAGGTAGCTAACTGATTTATGTCCCAATTTACCTCATTCAGTCACAACCAACTACCATTGACTCCATTCTGAAGCTTTAAAAGACTTAAACTTGGGGGATTCAGTGACCATCTTAAATCCATAGAACCAAGAAATGTCATGGCCTATAGAGGACTCCTGGTCTGTGGCCCATAAAGAAGCCTGCTCCATATGCAAACACAGGACAAAGGAATAAATGGGAAATGCAAACCTGCATCTAATGTGCTACTCACTCTGTCCTGCTTGAACAAATATTGTCAAAGTGACCTTAGCTCTAGCTTCACATTAAAAGTTAAACACTTAAAGCATGTTGCAATTTGGAGACTGGTTTCCCAGTCCTGGCCTTTCCATGACCACTCAGTGTAGGCAGATCTCCAGGCTGACTGCACAAGAATTTTAGGTATGGTCAAAAGTAGTCAGGGAGTTGGGATGTTGTGTACAGCTTCAGGCTTGTCACATATTTCCTTGTCACTGAGTGTTTTCAAATCATAGAAACAGATGTGGGTAGAGGACCATCACAGTAGGGGCAGAGCCCAGGAGAGAGGTTACTGTTGCATGAGTGCAAGAAGTTTTAACTTCTAAATGGTGCTTTCATCTACTAAGTTAGTCTATCATTTCTTCTCATGGACAAAACAGTTGACTTTCCTACTTGGTTGCATCTTTCCTATTCAGTCATTGGGCCATTATTTGCTGAATATATGTTATTAATTTAGTGCCTGCATGAATACTCCCAAAATCAAATTGCTCAGAAAGAAGTGCTTTCTAATTTCCTGGTCATATCTTGTGTGCTCATCCAGCTACTTTCTGCTTTACAGATCACCAAGGTGCATGACCACATGCTGTCCAGTCCCACCACTGCCTTCCCTTGTCCTGCTACTCTATTTTTAACGCACTGTCAATTGGGGCGCCATTGACTCTCCATTTGATCGTGGGTTGAGGTTCTCCTTCAGCTTCACACAACAAGACACCGCTGCTCCCAGTGCTGTACACACCACTCTGCGGCTTCTTCTTCCAGCGTGGAGGCTCTGCAGACAAGGTGAAGATTTTATCAAGACAGTTTAGCAGTTAGACAGTTAGATCCAAGAGCTTTATCAGGCCTACATTTCTCCTAGGGACCAGCAGAGGGCACACAGAGCACAGTATTCCAAAACAGATCTTTTGGGTAAAGAACGGTGGGCGTTATATGCAGGGTGTGTGCGTGCATGTGTGTGTGTAGGGGGGGATTACTTTAGACTCTGAGCATGGATATAAATCAACACACTAAAATATGCGACAATTTCAGCTACTCAAGTATTTATTTCACTAGCAGAAAGAAGAGGGAGGACCAAGCAGGTGGAAACTCCTTTAGTGCTGAATACTGTTTACACTCAGGCTGGACCATAGCAACGGAAAAAGGTTGATATTGAAATAGTACATTTAGAGAATTTCTTAAATAACAGCAAAACTTGCAAAATTCTATTTATTGTTACTGAATTTAAAGCATTTAAATATATCTGTACCTATTTAACTCACTACTTGACTAGGAAAATATAATTTTTTTTAGAAATATTCTTTTTGAAAGGGGGCAGGGAAGGAAATAGAAAAAAATGACATTTTTCTTTTGTAACAAAGGAGGAAAGGTATATTTAGATGATCTGCACCATTTTTAATGGATTTTTGTTATTTTAAAATACAGTATGATGGTAATTAGATCCCCTCCACTATCCACACCTCCTCTCATTGCCCTCCATCCAATTTAATGTATATATATACACACATACACATACACACACATGTGTATGTGTGTGTGTGTGTGCACTGTGGCTATAGAGTCTGATTTGTGTCCCCAAATGTCCTTCAGTGTGGGTCCATCCACTGGACCCACCACGAGTTTCATTAGGACACCTATTTCAAACTTATGCCTCCCAAGACTCAGGTGTCATTGCAGAAGAGGCAGCAGAAAGGTTATAAGAGCCAGAGGGGGTAGATGACTGCAAGAAAGCATAGCTTTCCAGATACCTGGTTAGTTAGTCACATGAACTCTCAGCAATGGTGTCAGCATGCATAAGCCCAATGCAAGCTGAAACCAGACCAAATCCCAGCATAGGCATGGGAAAGTGGGTAAGAAATCCTAATCCAACCTAAGAAACTTTGACAAGTGGTGGCAGCCGACAGGGAAGACCTGCATGTTTTCATGCTCTAAAAGTTCAAATATATAATTCTAATTGGTATATCAGAAAAATTACACATTTCTTTATTTCAAATATGACTTTCATATTCTGTCACTGTGATAATATCACAGTATTAACAGTAAAAAGGTTTAGAGTGAAGTATGGAGGGATGGGCTAGGTGACTTGATTTCAGAGGCAATTTCAAAACACCTGTGGGTAATAATTCCCATAAGGTGCTTAGTTGTGTTCCCCAAGACATTGCGGATTTCTGTTTTTATTCAAAAAGGAAGCATTTAAAGATACCCGTGTATGTATAAGGTGCAAATATCTTTTAAAAGTTTTTCAGTAAATGACTGAAAAGATTTTATATAATTTCAATTATTTTCAATTCAAAATATTTGTTTTTTTAAAAATTTTTTTATTTTTATGTGCATGAGTGTTTTCCCAGCATGTTGCGTGCCTGTGATTGCAATGCTTTCAGAGGCCAGAAGAAGGCATTGGATCCTCTTGAACTGGAGTTATTGCCCTTTTGGTGTGGAAAACTGACCCAACGCACTTAACTTCTGAGCCATCTCTCTGGCCTCTAGTTGCAACTTTTTAGAAAGAAATTTTTATTTAAAAATGATGTATTTTTCATGGCATCATTTAGATCCTTGAAGACATTTTGGATGGTAGTTGTGAAAAATGATTTGTGTTATATTTTTAAAATTCAAAACCCTTGCATGATACAAAAGTGACCAACATGAACATTGTTCATGGGAGGATTTTCCTTTTAAAAAATTGGTTTTATCAAGTGAACCATCTCACTTGTCTTTGATATATCTCTTTATACTGTCTGTATAATTATTTTACCACAGATGCCCAGAATATATGACTATACCCAGTTCAGTCATCAAGACTGTTTTGTTCATATATAATGTGGTAAATTTGACTTATATTCTGATTTCATATTTAGGTTATTGTGGCTTAAACTATAAGTTCATAGATTTTCAATTTCATAATAAGGAACAGCGGTCAAAACTGGAATATGAAACAAAATTGTGAATTTGCTTATGCACAAAGGGTGTTTTCAGAATGGACTAGAATTTCAAAGTACACAATAGCATTGCTCTTTTTCCCATATGACTAGTCCTTACATAATTTGGGTTTCTAAAGGGAGATATAAAAACAAAAGAGAAAAAAAGCACAAAGACAAATAAAAATCATCTATGTTTTGACACTTTAGGAAAATATTTCTTGAACACAATATACTTTTCACATGCATTTGTGAAGAGAAACTAAAACGTACAACTGAGTGTACACCTAGCATTTTCTCAGTAAAGGGAAGTGACTTAATATTCTTCATAAAAACATTATTTATAGCTCAGCAGTGGTAATAGCTGTTTTATGAATAGTGAGAACAATTTGTTCAAGAAAGTGGCATCCCTTCGGAATCCTATAGTCAACATTTTAAATTGCATAATTAATTTTACTTGTATAATTTTTGCAGCATTTGCAATTCTTTTGAAAGATTCAGTCTTAACACTCAAGAAAACCATGGCCAGATTGTTAAAATATGCAACAACCGTAGCAACGCTGCAGCCATCTGGAAGGATTTCTAACAGTCAGCAACTTGAAGTAGAAGTGGCTAATAATTATGCATGTCTGGTTCATGAGTGTGTGCATGTATGTGTGTGCATGTGCATTTGTGTGTGTGTGTGTGTGTGTGTGTGTGTGTGTGTACATGCTGGAGAGGAGCCAGAAATATTAGGGCAAAAATATATCCATCACAAGACGTAGCTAAATTACAAAGAAGTGACAAATAGTATCTTAAATTGAAGACCCATATTTCAAACTCACCCTCTCCAAATTTCCTTGTGACTAACTTGTCAGAGGACTATATTATTGTTGCCAGATACTGATGTTAATGCCTAGTACTGCATTTTATCTAATATAGGTTTGCTCGGTTGAACTAAAGAAAGCAAACTTCTCATCTTTACCTTCACATTCTTTGTGTCTTAACTGAAAAACTGCCCAATGGAGAGGGTTTGGAATTGATGGTATTCCAACCAGGGGCATGAAGAAATCAATTATTGTAACATTTACTTGTGAGTGGAGTTTGTGTCTGGGTCATTTTTCTTTTCCATTAATTAAAACAATGGGTCATTACTTAAATGCTCTTTGTGCAAACTGAAGCTTCAAGAAGTGAACTTTATTGGAATATTAATGGGAACCCTAGAGCCCTAGTTCACTAACCGATAGCCTGGAAGAGACAATTTCTTTCCATAGTTAAGCATAGCACAGCACTAAATAAGTACAAATGTAGTAATCATCCCATTAATCTGATCAATACAGTTAAGTCTACCACAGATAGAAAGCTTCAGTATGATTGGACCAAAAGAAATCAGTCTGTGTCAATCAAATTCACAGGAGAATCAGATAACTTCTGCTTCTGCACAGCAGGTACAGTCCGTTATCTACATTTTGTGACTGTTCCTTCTTGAAATTGATGTCATCATTGCCTACTTATTTCTATAATTACAATAAAAACAGTATAATCTCAATTGCTAAAAAAGTGTGGTTTTATGGGCAGAAGATAACTGTAATGTGCTTAGGTATTTTTTGATAAAAAATATTTATATTATCAAGTTTTTTCTTATTTCCCCACAAATAGCATATCGAATACTAAGATACAGATTACAAAATGTTGGAATTACGGTAGAGCTAAGACAATTTGACCGACACCCTTATGTCTTCGATGAAGAACCTGGGGTACAGAAAGATGAAAGCAAGGGACATAGCAAGCAAGCCACAAAATGAGGAAGCAGTCCAAATTTCCTAAGGCCTTTGCAGTACTGTTTGACGTTGAGATCCTGACCGCTATTGTGAGAGTCATGTGTCACATGCCCATTATAACAATATCATTTCATGTAATAAAACCATACATTAGAGTAAGTTTAATGATCATTGGAACAAATCTTGGAAAAGGTGTGTTTCCAATTCTCAAAACAAAAATTTTCTGGTCATTTGTACTTTCTAGATGGCTGAGTGAAGTAAGTTACAAATTTGATAAATTGAAGTGTAATATAATTCAAGCATTATAGAGATAAAGGTTTGCTAATTGAATAAATGTATTTTTCTCTCTGAAGTAGAGATATGAATCATAATGCGAACATACCTTCTACTATGACATGAAAATCATGACTTGTCTCTCCCAACAAATTATTGGCTGTGCAGCGATAATTTCCTCTGTCTCGGTAAGAGATATTTTCTATCTTCAAGGTCTTTCCATAATTTTCTTTTGTTTCTCTTCCTTTTGGTAAATCACCACCAGGCTTACTCCATTCGACCTGTGGAGTTGGTCTGCAAGAAATAAAATGAACATATTAACTTTAAAGAAACCCTTAGGGCACATCATTTTCTGGGGTGCTTATATATATCTACTGAGTTATATCATCTTTACCAATGGAGAGATGGCCACTAGGGAATAGAGGTTTGGAGAAACATGTTTCCTCATAAGCTCCTTTAATAGGGTACTCCCTGGGAATCTTGTCCCCTTATTAAGTAGGCTAAATCCATGTGAGTGCAATCAACGTGGCTGGATGCAGGATGAATAATTGAAGTCCCAAGAAGTATATTGCAAGCTGTTTGTCAAGTGTGAAATCTCCCTGTGGTCAGAGATAACAGCTCTCTTCCCTGTGTGTGACTTTAACAACGCTATAAAGTGGGATCCAAAAACCCAGCAGAAGGAAGACATGATTTCCCGCTGAATCCTAATGAAGCTGATATTTGCTAGTGTGGCTCAGGAAGAGTGGAGCCAAGTGTGTGGGCTGGTTGGTGGAAGAGCTCATTCATTCCAGGGCAGCTTGGAGTGCTCGGCACAGAACATGATTTCTTACTTTGTACAGATCTGAGGAAAGGGGACAAGAACCAATCCCCCTAACTCAGAGCTTTGGACAGATGGGCTCACCAAATCAAAACAAACCAAGGCAAAACAAAAATCAGGAAAAACTTGCTACCATACCAACTTCTTTCTCTACCTTTTGATGGAGAGAAATGGGATTGTGGGCTAAGCCAACATGTTTGATGAAAAACATTTTTCGTAAGAAAACAGAAGGTGAAGTGATGCTCTCTATAAATCCCATATTGCCTACTTATTTCTATAATTACAATAAAAACAGTATAATCTCAATTGCTGAGAAAAGTGTGGTTTTATGGGCAGAAGATGACTGTAATGTGTTTAGGTAT